AAATGATTGCACTGTTTTCTTACTCAGCCTGCTTCTTGAGGATGGCACTGGATTTTTTTTGCTAGTTTTGTAGATCTCTGAATTCCTCACCTTGAAAGTTCTCCCATCTCAGGCATGTTATTTAGCTTCCTGCCTTACTCAGGTTCGAAATCTGGCAAATAGGAGGAGGAGGAGGAAGGAGGCCTGTTGGTTATTATAGGTTCCTCTATCTAATGGGATTTGGTTTGTTAGTGCCTCCACTGTGCAAGAGAATTTCACTCTACTTTTTTGGCTCTGTTCCCCATCCTCCCATACCATCCTGATACTAAGGAAATGTCCTGTGGTGGAAATCAGCTTGGCATTCTGCTAGATTTCATTCTTTCTTGCCAGCCCAGGGGTTCATCAAAACTTATTGTGATTTATCTTTCCAATGGGTTGGGGAACCTTTTTTCTGCCAAGGCCAATTGGATATTTATAACATCATTCTTGGGCCATACAAAATTGTCATTAAAAATCAGCCTGCTATATTAGGTCAAACATTTAATTAACTCATCACTAATGCTTTGACAGGGCCAGACCAAATGATTTCACAGGTCTTTTGCAGCCTGCAGTTCCCTACCCCTGACCTATACCAAACTCCTGCCCATAATTTCTAAGATGCCCCTCTACCATATCCTATATAATAAGAACCTAATATGCTAAGTGTCTGATTGGCCATTCAGCCAATCAAAGCATAATCCTATATGATAAAACCCTAATATGCCAATCAACCAAATGGCAGAATGACTGGTTGCTATAATACAGACACTCAATGCAGGATCTGCCCCCTGATGGTCAGTGTGCTCCCACAGGGGGAGCGCCACTCAGCCAAAGGCCAGGCTCATGGCTGGCGAGTGCAGAGGCGGTAGGAGAGGCCGCAGGCAGGAAGCAAGGAGTGAGGAGTCCTGGACTGCTAGAGGGATGTCTGACTGCCGGCCCAATCCCCTAGGCCGGCAGGCGGACATCTCCCAAGGGGTCCAGGGTTGTGAGAGTGTGCAGGCTGAGCTGAGGGACCACCCTAATCCATTGCTCTAATTTCATGCATCAGGCCTCTATTATGCTAATGATAAGGTACCGGTAAGGTCGCTCAACTGCTCGTTATGATGTGCACTGATCATCAGGGGACAAACTCTCTAGTAGGTTAGCTTGCTCCAGTAGGTTAGTTCCAACTAGTAGGTTAGTCCACCCTATCAGGTTTATGCGAGATGGGCCAAACAGTCCCTCCCAGCTCGCCAACCTCCCTCATCCCTCCCCAGCCCAGTTGTGCACTGGTGGGGTCCTTCAGCCCGGACTGTGCCCTCTCACAATCCAGGACCCCTCGGGGGATGTCGGGGAGCCAGTTTCGACCTGATCCTGCAGGCCAGGCCAAGGGACCCCACTGGTGCATGAATTCACGTACTGAGCCTCTAATTAATTGATATTGTTCCCTGATTGCTCCCTTAGCTCTCTAATTTTTTTAGTATGATTTCTATAATTTATTCAAACTTTGTTTATTACATCAGGAATGATGGCCTGTGGCTATCTACATCTTACCTAGAAGTGGCTCCAATTTTAGATCACCTTTAAGTTCTCTCTGTTATATATTAATAGTACCTTACTTAGAGTCCTTATATTTTTTATCATACTTATGAGGTATTTTATGTTTTTTTTTATTTTTTATTTTTTTGTTTTTTTTTATTTTATGTTTTTGATAATATATGTATGGTATGATATTTAGCTTTCAACTTTATAACTTTTTAAAATTAAATCTTTATTGTTGAAAGTATTACATGTCCCTTTGTGTGCTCCCCCTCCCTCCCCCCGCCATCATTGACCCCTTCTAGCCTACCCCAGCTTTCACAACCCTATTGTCTGTGTCCATGGGTTATGCATATATGCATACAAGTTCTTTGCTTGATTTCTTCCCACCCACCCACAATTTTATAACTTCTGATACTAAAAAATATAGTGTATTTTTAAAATTTGATTTCATACCTGACAGCTTTTTTTAAAATATATTTTTGTTGATTTCAAAGAGGAAGGGGGAGGAAGGAGAAGTAGAAACATCAGTGATGAAAGAGAACCATTGTTCAGCTGTCTCCTGCACACCCTGCACTAGGGACCAGGCCTGCAACCCAGGCATATGCCCTTGAATAGAAACTTGCGACCCTTCAGTCCAAAGGCTGGCACTCTACCCACTGAGCCAAGCTGGGTAGGGCTCTGGCAACTTTTTAAAAAGCTTATATTCCAATAACTTATCTGTAGATTATTTTGTATTTTCTATCAAAATTACATCAATTTGAAAAGTAACAGTATTATTTTTTCTTATCTTGATAGTACTTCTTTTTTCTGTTTAAGACCTTTACTAAAATGTTCAATAGAAATGGTAAGATTTGGCATTATTATTTTGTTCCTAATCTTACAATTACTACATTTCACAATAATTAGGATAGTTTCTCAAAAGTTTTTTTGTAGTTTCCCTTTGCAACAAATTTTACACCTGATTATTAAATTTTATCAAATGTTTAATCTGACCATATTGATGTGATTATATGCATTTTATCCTTATTGACGGTGAATTATGTTGTTAGATTTTTTAATGTTAACTTACCTTGCATTTCTGGAGTAAACCTTCTTGGTAGGAATTCACACACACACACACACACACACACACACAATTGGTTTTCTAACATTTTGTTTAGGATTTTTGCTTCTATATTCATGAGTTATTGGCCTATTACTTCCTTTTCTCATGATTGTTCTTTAAATCATTGAATAGTAGGCAGAGGGTATAAATTCAAAAGTTCTTTTGTTCTTATGATATAGATACTAATCAAATATAATATTACTCCATTTTTTATTTTTTTAATATATTTTATTTTTTTTTAACAGAAAGGAAGGGATAAGGAGAGTTAGAAACATCAATGAGAGAGAAACATCAATCAGCTGTCTCTTGCACACCCCTCCTGGGGATGTGCCTGCAACCAAGGTACATGCCCTTGACCAGAATCCGCAGGCTGATGCTCTATCCACTGAGCCAAACTGGCCAGGGCTTACTCTTTTTGTTTTTCTTGTTTTTTAAGACTATTTTTGAATAATTTTAATACTTACAGAAAATATATATAAATACTAGAGGCCCGGTACATGGATTCATGCACCAGTGGGGTCCGGTCCCTTAGCCTGGCCTGCACCCTCTCGCCTTCCAGGACCCCTTGGGGGATGTTGGAAAGCCAGTTTTGGCCAGATCCCCACAGGCCAGACCCAGGGACCACACCAGTGCATAATCGGAGCCTGGAAGGGGACCCTAGGAAGGCTCCACGGTGTGTCCAGCCCTTCTTGCCCATTCCTGATCAGCCAGACCCCAGCAAGCAAGCTAACCTACTGATCAATCAGAGCATCTATTCCCTGGTGGTCCATGTGTGTCATAGTGACTGGTGGAACAATTGGACACTTAGCATATTAGGCTTTTATTATATAGGATAATAGAAGTCTCTGTACTCTTTAAGTTTTTTTTATTGTTAATATCTTAAATTAGCATAGTATCTTTGTCAAAATTAAGAAACCTGCATTTGTACATTACTATTCACTAAATTCCAGACTTTATTTAGATTTCACCTATTCCCATTAATGACCTTTTTTTGGTTCTTGAACCCAATCCAGTATATCACTTTCAATTTAGTTAATTGTCATGTCTCTTCTTAGTCTCCTCTGGTCTATGACAGTTCCTCATTGCTTTCTTGAGGAATAATGGTCAGATATTTTGTAGAATGTCCCTCAATCTGGGTTTAACTGGTGCTTTTTTCATGATTAGACTGGAGTTAAGGATTTTGGCAAAGAACACCACATAAGGGAAGTACCCTTCTCATCACGTCACAGTAGAGAGTATGTGACATTCCCATTACATCACTGGTGATGTATACCTTTATCCTTGGGTAAATAACATAGTGTTTGCCAGGTTTCTGCATTGTAAGTTACTATTTCTCCCTTTTTATATTTTATTTGGAATCCAGTCACTAAATTAAATCTATACTCAAGGAAGGAGATATTAAACTTTTACCTCTTGGACTGAGTTGAAGGGGTAGTGGTATCTACATGTATTATTTGGAATTCTTCAGTAAATGTGATTTGTATTTGTCTTTTCTCTCCTATTTACTAGAGGCCCAGTGCACAAAATTCATGCACTGGGCGGGGGGATGTCCCTCACCCCAGCCTGGGCCCTCTCACAGTCTGGGAGCCTTCAGGGGATGTTTGACTAATGGGGAGCGGCCTAAGCTGGCAGTCGGACATCCTTAGTGCTGCCACAGAAGCGGGAGAAGCTCCCACCACCACTGCTGCACTGACCAGTCATGAACCTGGTTTCTAGCTGAGCGGTGCTCACCCCGTGGGAGCTCACTGACCACCAGGGGGCAGCTCTGGTGTTGAGCGTCTGCCCCCTGGTGGTCAGTGCTTGTCAAATGGCTCTGCCATTGGCTCAATTTGCATATTAGCCTTTTATTATGTAGGATAGGATTCAGTTATTTATTTATTCTTTTTGAATATGAATTCTCTATAGTCTTAACACATTATTATAAGTTTGAAAACTTCTGGTTCCTTCACTGACATAAACTTCTTGAGGGAACACTTTGTTTCTTCTTTACCTTGATATCTATACATTTAATACAGTCCCCTAACTTATAGTGAACCTCTCCGGTAATCTTTTAAAAAATGAATGTATTTTCACTTGAACTGAAAAGTACTCTTTCCTCAGCTAAATTTCATAATAGCATTCTATATTGAAATTAAAAGTAGATTTTAAAACAAAAGTAAACTCGTGTGCTTGCATTATAAAAGTATCATAGAAACTGAAGGTTACTACATAAACAACTTAACCATTTATTGTGTCTGCACAAAACATTCCATGAAACTACTTTAAATATTCAATGAAGCCACTTTTGGAAAGATAGTATGGCATTTTATAAGCCAAGGATATATGACCTGCTATGTCCTTTCTCTTATTTTTTCAGCTCATCGGAGGTGGTTAAGACTCCACTTTCTGCTTCCTCTAGAAAATTATTATCTGATGCAGTCACTCAGATTACAACTGAAAGTCCAGGAAAAGCTATGTTTTCATCTCAGATTTTTATTAATCCTGACGATGGTGAACGTGAAATTTCACATCCCAGTTTCCAGAATCTGAGCAAAGCTCCTAACAAGTTTGCTTCATCATCTGCAGTCCAACAGATTGCTGTTCCTCGTGACACAAAAGGAGGTAAGAGAATGTGATTGCATTTTAGGTCAGATTACCTACTTTTATGTGTAACTAGAGGCCCGGTGCACAAAATTTGTGCATTGGGGGGGGTATCCTTCAGCCCAGCCTACACCCTCTCCAATCTGGGGCCCCTTGAGGGATGTTTGACTGCCCTCTCACAATCCAGGACTGCTGGCTCCCAACTGCTCGCCTGCTTGCCCCTAATCACTTCTGCCTGCCAGCCTGATCACCCCTTTACCATTGCCCTGCCAGCCTGATTGATGTCTAATGGCTCCCCTGCCAGCCTGTTTGCCCCCAACTTCCCTCCTCTGCAGGCCTGGTCACCCCTAACTGCCCTCCCCTGCAGGGTTGATTGCCCCCAACTGCCCTCCCTTGCAGGACTTGTCCCTCCCAACCGCCCTCCCCTGGCAGGCCTGGTTGCCTCCCAACTGCCCTCCTCTATTGGCCATCTTGTGGCAGCCATTTTTGATCACATGGGGGCGGCCATCTTGTACATGACATGAGGGTCAATATGATATTACCTCTATTATATAGGATAATATTCAAAATTAGAGTAAGTTATTTTATTTTTATAACAAGAAAATTAACACTTAAGTTTCCATTCTTCTCCCATATGAGAATGAAACTTTAGACTATTGATTTTACAATATTTAATAGTTTGCACAAATCTATTTAAAATTTTTCTATGTATACAAGAAGTTTATCTATCTGTAGACACAGAGAGGCTATGCCTAAATGTATAAAAGAAGATTTCTTGGTTCAGCATTTAGATTGCATTGAATTTAAGTAAGTACATTTATGTTAAGATAGTTACACATTTTTACTGTGAAATAAAACTCCCAAATTGTACAGTTTAATAAATATCACAAAAATCATCTTTATGTGTCAGTTACCTAGTGATACTATATAACAAGAGCCTCAAAAATCTCAGTGCTTCATGACAAACATTTGTTTATCTCACACTGGTTTGTGTTGTCAGTTGGGATGTGGCTGCAGGCAGCAGAAATAGTTTCGTCCTTTTCACTTGCCTTGTTCTGAAACTCAGGTTAATGGGACAATAGCTATCCACAGTATGTTGTTCTCAGGTGGTGGTAGAAGCACAAGAGGGGAAACCCAACTGTGAAAGTGTGCTTTAAATCTCCACTCACATCAAGTGGATCAGTCTATATGTAGAGGCCACAATTTCTGGTTTTACCTTTGCATACAGAGACCTGGGAGAAAAAATTACTTTAAAGTATTAATATTATTTGATTTAAAAATTTTTGAAATTGTGAATTTAAATGTAAAATTTTTTATTTTATATGAAAACATTTTAAAGTACATAGAATTTATACTTTATGCTCAACACATGACTATCTGCCCACTAATCTGAATTAATAAATTCAGAATAATTTACTGTATGCTTATATTTGGTTCTATTTTTTAAATTTAAAAATTTTAGTGGAACTTTTTTTTTAACCCCTTTCAGTCTTTTCTTTCCCAAAAGCAAACATTATTTGCTGTGTAGTCACTTCTTCCCCCATTGGCAGGCAGTACAAAGTAACCTTAACACTGTTGCATCCAAACATAAGTTTGATGAAAAATTTAAAAAGCCACTTATCGTTCTAAGAATTCTCCATATCATAACCATTCTTGATCTGGGTCCACTGTAATTCTGCCCAATAATTGTTATCCATTTTCTGCAATCTTGTAAGTGGTAAATTTAACCATCACTTTCAAACTTTATGTACAAGAAGAAGAAAATTAATAAGTCAATATTCTAGCAATAAATGATTACAGCAATGACCATATAGAAGTGGAGGCTACAGCTTACTTTTCTGTTGTTTAAATTCTTCCCTGTATAAAATGGGCTCGGTTTCTGGGGAAGTGAGTGTGTGGTGTTTTTGTTTTAGATTTTATTTTTGTTTTTGGAGGGCTTTGTTTTGATTTTTTGCTTTTGCCTGATGGAGTGATATAAGTATTTCTAAACAACCTGAGACTTTATTAGGCAGGCATCCTGCTCTAATCTCCCTAATTATTTTCTAATTATTTCCTTCATGTCACATATAATTTATTAAAATATTAGATTATTTATTTATTTAATATGCTGCTTACTTAATACATATCTTCCTCCTCTTAAGGCCAAGGTACTTTTCTTTGTAGTTCACTGATATATCCCAAGAATCTTGAACACTGCCTGGCACTTGAAGGCACTCAGTATTTGTTCATTGAATTAATAAATATTTTCTTATTAATTGTTGTGATCTTTATCTCCTTAGCTCAGCCTTCACTGTTGCCATATAAGCCTTCTGGTAGTACGAATATGTACTATGTTCCACAAATAAGTCACAGTCTTCCAGCTGTGGAATCCAAATCGAAGAGGACCTTTGCTCCACAATTAAGTCAAAGTCCTTCACCTGTGGATTCCAAATTGAAGAATACCTTTGCTGCACAATTAAGTCAAAGTTCTTTACCCAGATCGAAGACCTTTTTTCCACAATTAGGTCAGATTCTGTCATCTCAGGATTCCAAATCAGACACCACCATTGAGAGCTCACACTCAGGTATTATTCAGAATTATTTAACATTTTATTTTTTGCTCCCTAACTGGATTGGCCCAATGGATAGAGTGCAGCCCCAGACTGAAGAGTCCCGGGTTCAGTTCTGGTCAAGGGCACATACATTGGTTGCAGGTTTTCTGGCCCTGGTTGGGATGCATACAGGAGGCAACCAATTGATGTGTCTCTCTCACAATGATGTTTCTCTTTGTCTCTCCCTTCCATTCTCTCTAAAAATAAATGGAAAAATACCCTCGGGTGAGGATTAAGAAAAAAATAAAATTTTTTGGCTAGTTAATTCTGGAATGACATGAAAGCTCAATGGTAGATGTTAGAAATTTACTTATTAAAACTAGTACCATTCATAAACAGTAAAAGACTTTAAATCAAAAATTATTAGAGACAAGATTACTTTATTATGATAATAGAGTCAATCCATAAACAAGAAGATAAAATAATTGTAAGTGTACATGCACCACCTAGCAACAGAGTCCTAAATACAAAAAGAAAAAGAAAACCACAAGAAATATTTCAAACCAGTTAAAAAAGTCATGTATTTTTTAATTCCATTATATGAAATATGTAGAATGAGAAAGTTTATATTAACAGAAGGTAGATTACTGGTTACAAGGAGTTGTGGGAGAGGGGGGAAATGGGAATTATTTGCTGATGTGTACAGGGTTTCTTTTGGGATGACAAAAATATTCTGTAATTAGTAGCTTTGGTTGTGAACTGAATTGTATACTTACTAGAGGCCCAGTGCACGAAATTTGTGCACGGGGGGGAAAGGGTTGTCCCTCGGCCCAGCCTTAACCTTTTCCAATCTGGGACCCCTTGAGGGATGTCCGAATGCCTGGACAGTCAGATATCCTTCTCACAATCTAGGACTGCTGGTTCCCAACTACTTGCCTACCTGATTGCCCCTAACCACTTATGCCTGCCGGCCTGATCAACACTTAACTGCTCCCTGCTTGCCCGATTGCCCCTAAGTGCCCTCCCCTGCTGTCCTAGACACCCCTTCCTGTCCTCCCCTGTCAGCATGGTTGCCCCCAACTACCCTCCTCTGCAGGCTTGGTCACCCCTAAGTGTTTTCCTTTGTAGGCCTGATTGCCCCCAACTGCCCTCTCCTGCTGGCCCGGTCACCCCTAACTTTCTTTCCTGGTTGCCCCAACTGCCCTTCCCTGCAGGCTTGGTTGCCCCAACTGCTGGCCATCTTGTGGCAGCTATTTTGTGTCCACATAGGGGCTGCCATCTTGTGTGTTGGAGTGATGGTCAATTTGCATATTACCTCTTTTATATATAGGATTTAAATGTTATGTGAATTCTCAATTGAAAAAAAAATGGAGAGAAGAAATGAACAAATGAAGAAAAGACTACCTGAAAATGTAAAGATTTGGTAGTAGATTTAGAATACATTTTGCAGGCAATGAAAAATAAAATTAATGTGAAGGAAATTGAATTGTTGATGAGGACAAACTTGAAAATTTTTCTAAAAATATAGAGAGAATAAAATAAAAATGATGAAAAAGAAAACTAGGGACATAAGAATTACAGTTAAATAAACCAAACCAAGAATTATATCTATAATTGAAGAAGTAAGCAGAACAGTGTGAACAAAAGCAATATCAAAGACTTAATAGAGAAATATTTACCTCTCCTGAAAAAGGGAACACAGTATGCAGATTGAAAATTATACAGATACAGTCAAAGTGACTAGAAAGAGACTGATATACATACTAGGAAAAGATTTTGAATTGGAAAAGAAAAAAATTATATAAATATATATAGTTATCTTTTTAATAAAAGGTTGTATAATTAAGTGAACAGAATTTAGTCATATCATATTTACAATGCTAAAATGTAACAGATAAATGGAGCAAAATATGTATTTTTATAATTATATAATTCAGGAATATAGGAACCCAAATGCATATTCATTAAGCAGTATAGCAATGAAAAGACATTTTCACAAATATACAGGAAGTACAAAATATATTCTACCTCCATCCCATCTTAAAAAATTCACTTGGAGATTTACCCAGCTGAAGAGATGCATCAAAATGAAGAGTTCAGGAATGAAAGGTGGTAGTGCTGAGTGTGCAGTTGTGTGCTGCAGGCAGTATGTATGCTCTGTTTATCTAGAAGTAGATGTGAGGAGAGTGACCCCCATGTATAGTTGTTTGTATTATACCATAATATACAATAACATATATATATATATATATATATATATATATATATATATATGTGTGTGTGTGTGTGTGTGTGTGTGTGTGTGTGTGTGTGTGTTTTTGTTGTTGTTGTTGTTGTTTTTTAATTAACGAAGGAATTGTTCTGATTCCAAAAAAATACTATAAGGAGTAGCTTTGTCCTGAATGCTAGAATCTGAAGCTCAGAAAAAAGGTCTCAGTTGTGTGTGTGTGTGTGTGTGTGTGTGTGTATATTTGTTTGCCAAACTATATTCCTATATAATAAGAGAGGAATATGCTAATTATCCGTTACGCCTTGAGGCATAACAACCAACTGCATAATGACCACATCACAGATCTGCAGGAGGGTGGGGCAGCAAACTCTAAGTGGGCAGCGAAAAGCTACAGGAGGGCAGCAGAGCTATTGGTGCAGGGATTCGTGTGCAGGGCTACTAGTCAGCATATAAATAGTTGTCCATTATATTGGTAATCTGTGATTTCACCCAGGATTTAAAGAAAGCTCAGTTCTGACCCTTTGAGGAACTCTGACAATAAGAGATTTAGTAGGAGAAAAGATACTAGCACTTTCTCAGAGAGGTAGGGAGCAAACCCGGGAAAGTGATGCCACAGAAACTGAGAGGATCCGAATATAATCAGTTCTGTGGCTAATAAGGCTTAATAGGATCCTTGCAACCTGTCTTGAAAAATTCTTTATGGCTTATTAATATTTGTATTGTACTGATGATACTGATACTTACCCAGCATTTATTGCATTTACATTTCAAGTGCTCATAAAATGCATGAAGTATAGAATTCCAGGTTAGAAAGAAAACACATTTTTGTAGAAGACAATTCTAAAGCTACGACAAACTCCTGTATGTCCAGAGATAATTCTTTCACCACTTATATTTGGCATAGATAAGCTTCACTTATCAAGAGATATAGGAACATTAAACATTTTTAATTAGTTTCAAATTTTGTGTTTTTTTATTACATAAGAGGTTCCTTTCAATGTTTTGTCCCTTGTATTGTCAGGTTAATCTTCCTAAAATATAGCTAATTATATTTTTCTTTAAGAAATCTTGATGTTACATTTTATGTACAAAAAAGTTTGGGATTTTTAGCTTGGGATTCCATGTCCTGCTCAATTTTGTTTCAAACAATTATTTTTTTAATATTTTCCATCACTCTCTTAAATGTATTTTATAACCCAGGCTGAGTACAAATGTGTCTGCTTATATACTCTCCTGCTTCCTTGTCTACTAATGCCGTAACCTCTGCCTAAAATGTCTTTATTCCTTCCTCTGTGATTTTTCAAACAGCCTACTTATTTTCTAAGATACAATCTAATTTCACCTTCCTCTGAAAACCTTCCTGAGCTGGACATTGTCTTCTTTCTGAACTATTGGTCTACTTTATGTGTCTTTTCTTAAGCCATTTGCTTCTCCACCTTGTATAATTACAATTTAGTTTACGGGTCTGACACCTTCTGTTTGACATCTTCTGATTACTGTACTACACTCCCATTGTAGTGCTTTTTTCCCCCCAGTGGTTTAAGAGGTAAATTTTTGTCTTTCTTCAACTTAATGGCTATATTTGTGTTGATTGTACTACTGTTCCATTTTTCTTAGGATCCAATGATGCCATTGCTCCAGATTTCCCAGCTCAGGTGCTAGGCACAAGAGATGATGACTTGGAATCCTCTGTTAATATTAAACATAAAGAGGGGATCTATAGTAAGAGGGCATCCTCATTAAAGGGGAAAAAAGGCATCCAGAAAGATAATGCAGGTAACTGAATGGGCTTTGTATATTTTATGGCTTCTTTCTTTTACTCCCTGTTCATCCTAAAGGAGAATATTGTTCAGTCTTTATCTTGTTCTGCTTTGTTATATAAACTTTTTTCCTTAGCTATCTTATTGGGTATGTAGAAAAGGTAAAATATTTTAAAATGCTTCACAGATTTTTGAAACTTGTAAAGTCTTTTTTTAATATATTTTTATTTATTTCGAAAGGAAGGGAGAGGGAGAGAAACATCAATGATGAGAATCATTGATTGGCTGTCTCCTGCATGCCCCCAACTGATTTATAGTAAAAATTAAGTTTAAGATACTCTATATTAGTGGTGGGCAAAACCTCGGCTTGCAAGCCACATGCAGCTCTTAAGCCCCTTGAGTGTGGCTCTTCCACAAAATGCCACGTGCGGGCGCACACGTGCAGTGCCATTAAAACTTTGTGGTCCATGCACGGAAGTCGGTTTTTTGCTCTCAAAAGAAATTTCAATCGTATTGTTGATAATTGGCTCTGTTGACTAATGAGTTTGCCGATCACTGCTCTGTGTAAACAACCGAGCCACATCAGCTGGGCTGTTAACTTTATTTTTACTATGCAAAATAAAATATGTTGTAGCTTTTGAAATGAAATAATATCCAATTGAGTATGTTTTAGAGACTAGAATCCATAGAAAATCTTGATTAAATTGTCTGATGAGTTTACCTGTCAAATGATTCAAACTAGTGGTAATTTGGTAGACAGATAACTCTGTGATCCTATTGATAAAGAGCTTAGGATGGGGAGGATATGGAAAATTTAGCAGAGAACAAAGTGATAGAATTAAGGGAATTTTTTCAGACATCTGCACAAAGTACTTGCCAGTCATCATCCACTCAGGCTGCATTTGGTAAAGATGATATGTTGGAAATAAAGTTTGGCTCTATTACCTAGGGAGCCTCCAAAACATCCCACCTATTCTGGGGGACTGATGATAATATTGTTCGTCTGCTTTTAAACTTTGCATCCTAAGGAAAAGTCCGTCTGGTTTAATCCTATGTAGTCATTTCACCATGGGAAAAGTTCAGCCTCAGAACTTTTTACCTTAAGGGCTTATAAAGAAAAGGGGGCATGTCTGCTTAAAGAAACAGTGACCTACATATAATAGCTAAGTGAGCTCATAGACTATACCAGAAATAAAAGTCTCAGTGGAAGTGTTAGAATATAAAAATGAGAAAATGTCTTAGAAAACAGAACTTAAAACAAAGGTAAAGAAAGAAAATATAAGAAAATTCAAGATTGGCTTAAAAGTTTCAACATCAAAAAAGCAGGTGTATTGAAGAGACAATAAAGAATCAGAGTCATATATATTAATGTGCATAAATCCCCAAGTCATATTAAGTGAAAAAGGCATGTTGTTTAAAGGACATAGAGTATTATACTATTTATATAAAGTTTAAAGACATGCAAAACAATCCTTACATTGTTGATTAATTCATACAATATAATAAAAAAAAATTCTTAAGATTGATAAACTCTAAATTCAGTATAAATGTTGCTATTATAAAGAAAGAGAATGGCATCATTGAGGCTTTATACACAGGATCATTATAATCATTTTATAATGTTTTATTTTTTTAAGCTTTGGTAGACATATTGGTGTTTATTATGTTATGCTTTAGTAATCTATTGTCTTTCTGATTTCTTTGTTGAAAAATACTTATACTTAGAAATAGCAAATGGATTTCTTGTCAACCTGTTGTAAAGACATGTAACCATTTACTGTTGACTGTTTTCTTAGTTGTATTGGTGATTTTTTAAATGCATTTACGAACATATTAGTTAGCACTTATGTTATCTCATTGATTAAAAAAAAAATAGAGCTGATTTTAAAAGACCAATAAGGTAGGTAAATTTCTATAAAATATTACCAAGAAAAACAGAAATAGGAATATTAGAAAGTTTAAAAGGGTGTAACTTAAGACTTAAAAAATTATATGGTACTCTATATAAAATGTACATGATATAAGGTATTTCTAGGATTATATAAAATATCAAAATTGGCTCTATAAATAACATAAACTTGGAGTAAGCCAAAGAACTTGAAATGATTGTTCAGCTATACTTTTCTACTTTGAGAAATATACCTGATCTAGAGTTTTTTCTTTACTGTTGTATCAAACCACAACAACAGGTCTTATTTAATGCATTGTTGTACAAAGAAAAATACAGAAAGCTTTCCTGAAATTTCATGTCATAAACCCATCATTACTGTCATAGCTTTTACATAGTAGGGCTTACGAGGTGCTTTTTCCAGAGAGATATATATATAAAGTGGTTTTGGTTTTTTTTTTTGGGGGGGGGGGGAGTGGGAGGAGGAGGAGGAGGAGGACGACGGGTAGGGTTACATGACATTTGTGTTTATTATCTTTTCCTTCTCTGTGGTGTTAAATGATGTCATTATTTCAGATGTTCAAGTACTTAGGGTGTTAATTACCCTCTCTTAGATTCCATTGATGCTGTTGCTGCAGAGCTTGCAGCTAAACTACAAGACACAAAGATTGAATGCCTATCAGACACTAAAGTCAGTAAGAGGACATTTCCTAAGGAAGCCTGGTCAGAAGATAAGGAATCCTTGCAGATAGATATTGAAGGTAATGGGATTGGGATGTCTGTGTGTGGGGAAAGGGAGATGCTATGTCTGTTTTCTTTTATCTTGATAAGAATATAGCCTCATGATTTAAACATTCATTTTTTCTTTTCTTTTTTGTTATTTTTCTTTTGTAAATTACTTCAGAGCTACTTTGTCTCTGTGATGGTGTGTGTGTGTGTGTGTGTGTGTATATATATATATATATATATATATATATATATATATATGTATGTATATCCTGTCTAATAAAAAAAATAGTAATATTTAAATTATCCACCACTCTGCTACACACAAGCCACGCCCACCATCCAATCAGGAGCAAATATGCAAATAAACCTAACCAAGATGTTACGGCCACAGAGAACAGGAGGGAGGCTTGGGTTTCCCTGGCAATGGAGGAAGCCAAGGTTTCTGCCTGCCCTTGCTGGCCTAGACCTCCACTCAAGGCTACACAGTTTCAATGATAAATCCAAACAGAAATGGCAGCAACGGAGCTGGAAAGAGCAGAAGGCTAGGGTTGCCCCTGGCAATGGGGGAAGCCAAGCTTTCCACACACCCTGGCAGGCCCAGGCCTCCGCTTAAGGCTACAAAGTTTCAATTATGGAAGATACATAAATCCCAACAGAAATGGCTGCTGCCACGAGCAATCAGAAGGCTTGGCTCCGCTCCAGGATACAAAGTTTCAATTGTAGAAGATAGATAAACTCCAGATACCAGGGCCTCCACTTGGGTTCCCCGTGGGGTGTAGCTGTCCTGAAAACCACCACAGGCCCCACACCCAGGCCGCCCCACACCCTAAAGGAACCCCCACCCTGATCTGGGACATCCTTCAGGCAAACCAGCTGGCCCCACCCATGCACCAGGCCTCTCTCCTATCTAATAAAAGAGTAATATGCAGATTGACCATCACTCCAACACACAAGATGGCTATCCCCATGTGGACACAAGATGGCAGCCAGGGAGGGCATTTGGGAGGGAACAGGCCTGCAAGGAAGGGCAGTTGGGGGTGAGCAAGCCTGCAGGGGAGGGCAGTTAGGGGTGACCAAGCCGGCAGAGGAGGGAAGTTGGGGGCTACCAGGCCTCCAAGGAAGGGCAGTTAGGAGTGACCAGGCCTGCAGTGGAGGGCAGTTAGGGGCAAACAATCTGGCAGGGGAGTGGTTAGGGGGTGATTACGCTGGTAGGCAGAAGTGGTTAGGGGCAAGCAGGAAGGCAGGCAGGCGAGCAGTTGGGAGCCAACAGTTCTGGATTGTGAGAGGGATCCCAGATTGGAGAGGGTGCAGGCTGGGCTGATGGACACACACACACACACGCATGGATTTTGTGCACCAGGCCTCTAGTATAGTTTTATATTAACCTGTGAAGTATCATGTGTTAGTACTGACACTGGGAAAAACCTAAAGGTATTCCAGAAGATTGTAACAAAGACAGATAAACCCCAATACAAACTTCTAAAAATTACAGTAAAAAGCCAAAAATTACAATAAAGACTCATGGCCCTCTTTTGAGTCTAACAAAAGAAAGGCATAGCGGACTACCTGGCTGTCAAATTTTACCTCTTAGAAGAAAATAGAACAGTACCCAGATAAGGGAAAAAAGAGTCGATGAGCTGTAATCTATCCATATTACATTTCAAACCTGTTCAGGGGTAGCTGCTCACATACAGATGTGTAAGATAAGTGATTTTCACACGGGTGCCAAGGCTGCGCAGTGGGAAGAAACAGTCTCTTCAGCAGATGCTGTTGGAAAACTGACATCCTTATGCAAAAGAGCAAAATTGGATACTTATCTTTTACTACATATAAAAACTAATTCAAAATGAATCAAATGCCGGGACCGGTTTAGCTCAGTGGATAGAGCGTTGGCCTGGGGACTGAAAGGTCCCGGGTTCAATTCCAGGCAAGGGCATGTACCTTGGTTGCAGGCACATCCCCAGTGGGGGGTGTGCAAGAGGCAGCTGATTGGTAATTCTCTCTCATTGATGTTTCTGACACTCTATCCCTCTCTCTTCCTCTCTGTGAAAAATCAATAAAAAGTATTTTTAAAAAATGAATCAAATTTTTAAACATCAAAGCTAAAGTTACAAAACTGTTAGCAGAAAGCATAGGGGGAAAACTCCATGGCCTTGATATGGCAGTGATTTCTTGGATATGACCACAAAAACACAGGGAACAAAAGCAAAAAAAATATGCACACAAGAAGAAAAGTAACTGCACTAGATGATAAAAGACTGAAGTGGACCTTTTTCTTAATGTCCAGTGACCTTTGTCTTAAAATTTGGTGCAATGTGTTTAAAAAAAAAAAGACAAAAAACAAATTATACTTACACCAAATTAAAAACTGCATCAAAGGACACAATCAATAGAGTAAAAAGGCAGCCTATGAAATGGAAATATTTGTAAATTATGATAAGTGTTTAATATCCAGATCATATGTGGGATTTCTGTAATTCAACAACAACAGAGAAAACCAGTTTTGTTTTTTGTTTTGTTTTTATTTTGTTTTTTAAATATATTTTATTGATTTTTTTTCCAGAGAGGAAGAGAGAGGGATAGTCAGAAACATTGATCAGAGAGAAACATCGATCAGCTGCCTCCTGCACACCCCCTACCAGGGATGCGCTCGCAACGAAGGTACATGCCCCTGACCGGAATGGAACCTGGGACCTTTCAGTCCGAAGGCCGACGCTCTATCCACTGAGCCAAACCGGTTTCGGCAGAGAAAACCAGTTTTTAAAAGGGCGCAAAGGATTTAAATAGATCTCCCAGAAGGCATATGGATAACTAATAAATACATAAAGAAATGCTCAATATCACTAATCAGAGAAATACCAATTAAAATGAGATACCACTTCACACCCATTAGGGTGGCCACTATCAGAACAGAAAATAACAATTATAGGCAAGCATGCAGAGAGATAGAAATTGTTGTGTACTGTTGGTAGAATATAGAAGGGTGCAGCCATTGTGGAAAATAGCATGGAGGTTCCTCAAAAAATTAAAAATAGAATTGATGCCAAAACTGGTTTGGCTCAGTGGATAGAGTGTCGGCCTGCAGACTCAAGGGTCCCAGGTTCGATTCCGGTCAAGGGCATGTACCTGGATTGCGGGCACATCCCTGGTGGGGGAGGTGCAGGAGGCAGCTGATCGATGTTTCTCTCTCATGGATGTTTCTGACTCTCTATTCCTCTCCTTCCTCTCTGTAAGAAATCAATAAAATATATTTTTAAAAATAAAAATAGAATTGGCATATAATCTAGATATCTCACTTCTAGGTATATATATCTTTAAAAAAATCAAAGCAGGCCGAAACTGGTTTGGCTCAGTGGTAGAGTGTTGGTCTGCGGACTGAAAGGTCCCGGGTTCGATTCCTGTCAAGGGCATGTACCTTGGTTGCTTGCACATTCCCGGTACGGGGTGTGCAGGAGGCGGCTAGTCGATGTTTCTCTCTCATCTACGTTTCTAGCTCTCTATCTCCCTTCCTCTCTATAAAAAATCAATAAAAATATATATATTAAAAAAAATCATCAAAGCAGATCTTACAGATATCTGCACACCTATGTTCAGCTCAGCATTATCCACATTAAACAAGATATGAAAACAATCCAAATGTCCATCAACAGGTGAATAGATTAAAGAAAGTGCTAACATGGTACAGTATATAGATATGAAACCTGTTCATGTTGACCAATGCCAGCCCCCAAAATTTAATAATAAAAAAATCTCTGAGGTTTTTTTAAACAGAAAGTGTACTAAAAACAAATTTTATACAGCCTTAAAAAGGAAGGAAATCCTGTCACACGCTACAGCATAGATGAACATCAGTGACATTGTGTTAAGTGAAATAAGACAGTCACAAAAGAAAAGAAAATAAGCCCATGCTATATAGCTGAAAATAAAATAACTCAGAAGAGTTGAAAAGTAAAAGGAAAAGTAGAGTTATGAAAAATATGGACACATAATAGGTGAGATTAAATTAAAAGTGTTAACAGGAATTAAGGAGGGATGTTTCTATACTAGTTTGCAATCTACAATGAGGTTATAACATAAATCTTTAAACAGGAAATAGCATAAAATATATAAAATGAAACTGGGAGTATCATCAGTAAGGAAGTTTATGTTGCCTTATAAAAAAAATGAAATTGTAGAATTATATGAAAATAACTTATGGCCCTAGTGAGTTTGGCTCAGCCTGGGGACTGAAGGGTCCCAGGTTTGATACCAGTCAAGGCACATGCCCAGGTTGTGGGCTTGATCCCCAGCAGGAGGCAGCCAATCAATGATTCTCTCTCATCATTGATGTTTCTATCCCTCTCTCCCTTCCTCTCTGAAATCAATAAAAATATTTTTTTTTAAATAAGAAAATAACTCTTATAATATTGTTAGATGAAGGGATAGGCAAAAGATGCTAGGGAGAAAATGCAAAACTGTCCACAAACTGTCCTAAAACCTGGAGGACCTTCAAGAAGAAATGAACAAGACAGAATAGTAGTAAGGAGTTTGAACATACATTCTTATCTCATACTAGATCGTTGAAATGAAATTATTTTTGTTAAATATTTTATTGATTTCAGAGAGGAAGGGAGAGGGAGAGAGAGAGATAGAAACATAAATGATGAGAGAGAATTATTAAATCAGCTACTTCCTTCATGCCTCTTACTGGGGATTAAGCCCACAACCCAGGCATGTGTCCCAACCGGGAACCGAGCCTGAACTCTTGGTTCAGAAGTTGACGCTCAGTCACTGAGCCATGCCAGCTGGGCTAAAATTTTTAAAAAGTAAAGTTTAAAAAATCATCTGGGCCGAGACCAGTTTGGCTCAATGGATAGAGCGTTGGCCTGCAGACTGAAAGGTTGCGGTTTTGATTCCGGTCAAAGGCATGTTGCAGGTACATCCCCAGTAGGGGTGGTGCAGGAGGCAGCTGATCAATGATTCTCTCTCATCGATGTTTCTAACTATCCCTCTCTCTTCCTCTCTGTAAAAAATCAATAAAATATATATTTTT